TTTCAAGACTTCTTCCCCAAAAGAAGTACGGCTTCAAGACAGAAGCAAAGGCCCCAAAGGGAGTGTCCGTCTTACATTCAAGGCTTAGCCCCAGCCAGGTACGGAGTATTCGTACCTACCTACAGGTTACCCGGTGCCGTCGTCCCAAGTGAAAGGGTGGACTATTGCCGCACCATGTTACCTCCCATTTGGCGTTATTCTTTGTGCAACTTGGTTGCGTGCGATAGCTCGGAGAAAAGCAAGGCTCCCCAATCGAATTCGCGTACCACCCGAGGCCAGGTGCTTGGGGCTTGGAGACCGGCGAGACAGCAGTAATAAACAACGTGGTGTCCTGGTCGACGGATGATGTTCACAAGGATCGACGTAGCCCCGGTCGCGCGAGGCCCACCCGGGAATATGCAACCCAAAACCCCTTTTTCAACGACATCCAAGCGCGAGTCGTGCGATTCGATATCATCACCGCCGCTATTTGAATAGGCGGAAACCGCGCATTAGGTCCGGATTTCGCACAAGAATATCCGTATCCGTACGTTCCATCTGTGAAGACTATCTCAATCGGCTTGTCGATGTAACCTTGGGGTTCCATTGAAGGGAATCGTCATGGACTATTCTGCTCCGGTATGGGTCCTACGCTGCCGAATATTGCTTGTCCATTGGCAACGCAGCAAAGCTGTGCCAGTTGCTTCTACAAGCGCAGGCAGAAGCTGGACGATAGTAGCGGGCGCTGAGGCGAATCATCAGATGCGGGCTTACATCGGCTGCAGCTTCTGATGCAAGTCAAACCTACTTGTAATTAATAGCACATGGCATAACGGCCATTAGAGAACGCTAGAAATCTCCAAGGTCTTTCGAGGCCTCGAGTCCAAGAAGCAACTCCCCATTCATCTCTTGCATGGCGCTTCTGTACGGACGCTAAGCCGGCTGGAGAGACTGAGATGGAGGAGACCTATCATCAGGAGGATCGAGAAATTTAATCGCCAAAGGTAGTCACAATCCACTAGCCGTGAAAGGATGATGTTCCCTAGTCGCACCATGCTCCCAGCTCGAGGACCGATTGCTGCATCTTCCCTAGTGGATGTTCACCATCGCGCTTCTCAGTCGTGTCAGTGTTTCTTGTATCGTGAATTGCGAGAGCCGTCGGCACCATTGGGAGCATATTGGAGCACTCATCTGCCACTATCCCTTTCAGAGATCGCCGAGAACAAAGAAAGTCACCAACTAGTTGGGAGACGGTCGTTGGTATAGTACGATAATGTTGTCCTTCTCCGCGGGGGCTATAGTAGGGAGCCATAAGTGCTGGGAGCCAAGCCAGGAGGAGATAGTGGCGGAAGCGAGAGTGTCACTATTGTAAGTTGCTAATTGGTATAGTTATATTGTCGGATGTCCGTTATTTGTCTTCTTCACTAAGATACCTTCAGAGGCACCCTCGACGGCGGCGGCGGCGACGTTCGGAACTCTGTAGTCTCAAGCTATGCCTTTCGGAAGCTGCTGGTCTGATAGGTAGACCTCCCAAGAACGTATCGTACCATTCAGTAGCCCCAACGGTTGTATACTAGAAATAAATAGCCCAAACGACAGCCACAGGCTGACTCCCAATGCATGTCGATTTGCGGGATAAATGCAGCTGATAGACCATCCTCTCGCACGGACAACGTTCACTGACGAGATCGACCTGTTGTTGGGATGAGTGACTAGCTCTGTAAACATCTAGGCGGTTTCAATGCCCATAATCTCCAAGCTCGTATCTTTCCAAGGTCACCTGCTGTCTGCTAATCCTTGGCCGCCGACGAAAGTTTCGCCGCTCAGGGGTTCGATATCATCTGGATGAAGCATTGCGCATCGAGAATGGCCCGTCATCCTGCCAGAGGGAACACCCTTGGATTGGGACTTGAACAGTAAATGCCAAAGGGAGCAAGGATGGGCATATTTGAAGCTGTATCATCCGATGTTTCTTATTGAGTTCGATAGTCGGCGGTACAGTTCTTCGCAAGAGTACGCGCGGTTTGCAGGAGGAATACTCCAACCAGCCCTTCCAGTACAAGCATTATCGATGCTGCTTTGACTGGTGATCCCGAGATGATGAGCATCGCTAGAGAACCGTGATTTGCGTTGGCTCGCAGGGTAAGCGCAAGACATATTGTCACGCACACACTCTGGCCTCTGTTGAAACTGGGCCGGACCTTGTCAGATGTCGGCGAATGCAAATCATCGGCCACGGGAAAGGCGACAACCTCTCTTTGTCGGCCCTCTCGCCGGCAAGAGGAGGTTTCGTCTGCCCAAGCCCCTATCGTATCTCATTGCTCCGGCTGGTTTGAGAGGCTCGGGGAAATCGAGATGGGAGAGACTGGCCAACGCAGGTTCTTTCCCAAGAGCCGTAGGAATATTCAAGTCATGGACAAATTTCTTGACGAGTCGGGAGTAAAAATGATGCATTGGCCAGATTTTGCCCCTTCTTTGGTCATGGCGGCACGTGTATCAAGTCTTTCCGGAACCCTGAATGGGAAGTTGGCGTGGTGAGGCTCAATTCCAAGTACCAATACGTGCCACAACCAAATAACGAGTGGATGGTCGGTAGATTTCACTGACTGAGTACTGAGGCCGATCTAAGCCGACACCAGTCCAAATAGGCCGTGTGGTGACCAGCCGTGCCAGCCTGCCACGCTTGCCTACGCCTGCCCGCAGCCAGAACTCATCATGTGCCATGCGGTCGAGCATGAATTGCCCAATTTGATTGGACACGGCCTTAATGCAGATGGCCATGGCACGCAGCATGCGTCCTTAGTACTCGAAAGGACCGCCGTACTTGGTTTCTCGGTTGTCCTCCGAACGCTAGACGCAGAAACATTTCAGCACGCCACCCGGGAATGTGCTTAGTCGGCCGAGATGATGACTCAGCGTGACCAGTACCGCCGTCTACGGCACGCACGTAACCGATCTTCGATTGATGCCCCGTCGGTCTTGGATTTCAAGGCTTTTGGCGGAGGCGCAAGTTTCTTCAGTGATCATCATTGCCCGGAGCTCGCTCTTTCGCGTTCAGGGCTGGGCGCGTGGAGCGTCTTTGGTCGATCAATGGCAGGCAACAGAAGCAGCCGATCGACAGGGCGCAAAAATCCCTGACTATGCGTGAGATGAGCACTCTTACGAGCCACTGCTGTGAGGTCGCGAGTCAGGTTCCGAGGTGTTGATGCAGAAGACAATCTGCAGAACGACCAGTTACAATAGTGAGGTAGTCATATGAGCTGGTAAAGAAAGAAACCCTAGCCAGGTTGGAGGAGTTTGATGCTCTCATCGACTCGTGAGTTTCGCTGCAAGTAGACTTGATCGAAGGCTGTTTTCGCGGGGTTTGAAATGTTTCTGGCCGCACCTCCTCCAGTCTGACGCAACTCCTCTTTGTGGCAGGATTACCAAGTAATAGACTCAATTATCGCGGCGGATCGCTGGGCTAGTAAACGTGGGGAGGTATCCGTGGTATCCCATCGTCGCACGCATTAGCTAGCAGCTGAAGCACCCGGTGACATCTTCTCCATACACTGAACGTTTTGCAGCGAAGACAGCACCGATAGCTGCAAGGGATTGTTTGATTGTGGGGATGCGGTGCTCGATGGGCCGCTCGCCTAGACCAGCTTGACCAGGCCGGATAGCGGAAAGGAATCTGCCCTCGCGTGGAATTCGCACGATGATACATCATAAAGTTGAACTGCAGTGTATGTACAACCATGCATCACGAACGAGGCGGATTGGCCCAATGGGGATAGCCGAGTGTTGAGGGCCGCCTTACCTGAGAGACTATCGAGTATCGACATCTGTCTGGCTGGGGTGGACATGTGCGCATCGTGTGTAAGTAAGCCCTGTCTGGATCCGTGTGGTGAAGATGATCAGGTAGACCGTACTGTACCCGTGGATGGACGGCTGAAGTAGTGGATCCGAAGTAGGAGGCCGATCTTCATGTCCATGTGAACCATTGCCAGGAAAATTGGCCCACGGCAAATGGGGAGATGGGCAAATCGACTTTCCCACTGCTGCCGGCCGACAGAGTGTCTTTTCGCCTCCTCGCCTCGTACCTCCACTTGGATTGCTCCGCTGCCGGCCGTGTTTCTCGGAATCTGGCGCGTCCGATCTCGACTGTTCCCGGATGTTTGTACACACGGATGCTGATAGGCGCGGCGTAAACAGCGGAGCCATCGTGATAGGTGCCTCAATTGGCTGCAGCCTGGAGCCGGGAGCCTTGAGCCTTTTTCTCCTTGAAATCCTTTCCACTTCGTTCCCATTCCCTCTCCCGTAGGCGTAGGGCAGACGTCTCAGCCGTCCGGCTCTAGCGGGTATGCACGGCCTTCCCACTCTCCTCTGTGGTCCCTTCACCGCCAACTCGCCCTTCGTCGACCAGCGAGAGGCATGCGGGAATGCCCTTGATGGCCTGTCTGCTTGTTGTCCACATGCGCATGTCTCCTTGGCCGTGGCCCGCGCACCGCTTTTGACCGTCGTCACTTGCCGCTGTGGATGTGTGATACTCGGCCAACTGGCGGCGAGTGAAATAAGCCGTTTTCCCAGCATCCAGGTTGCACTTTATCCATGCGCGTTACCTAAGGACATGCAGGTCGTGCCAGTTGCGATCACAGTGCCAGAATTGATGTCTTGGTCACTGTCTGCTGAGCCAGCGCAACCCACCCACCCCAATTCGACCAGGGGGAATGAAGCATCCTTGCGCGTTGGGGGCTTGAAATTGGCTGCACTCTGCTTGACACCATCGGGTGCTGCCAGGAAGGCGACGACACCTCCGGGGGGGACTGACCGCCTGGTGGCCTCATGACTTCATCCATCAGGGGTGCCATATGCCATTGTCGCACAATGTCCCTGATGGTCTGGCCTCGCGGAATGTCCAGCAACATGTGAGACGTATCGGCTAGAGCAACTCGTCAACTGGGGATCACTGTCTGCGGTCGAATAGCTCGAAAGAGGCGCTTTTCCGGGTTGGTTTCTGAACCTTGGCAATGATTCCATCATCATTTTAGCGGCACTTGAGGCGCCTGTCCCTTCTGCCCTAGCTGCTGCACAAGCCTCGAAGCGTTGGGAGTCAGGTATCCGTAGTCAGGAACATATGTCTCAGACAAGCCTTGAAACTTGCTTCTTGGCTTTGCTGGAAAGAGTGCTGACACCTGCTCGTTGCGGCGATCCATATCCATCAATTGATCCCTTTGGTGCACGGGACTTGTTCTTTCCAGAGCAGCGTTATGCAGACCGCGATGCCTGACACTTGGCATGCTGCATGGCTCTCCCATTCGATTCGCGGTGGCATCGAATCCCGATTGATTGAGGCCGTGCACACCTTCCCTTCTATACTGCGAGATGGTGTCAAACGATCATGATCTGTTTATTATGAGTATCCGTACTCCGTACCGAGCTGACCAGATATCGATGGGGAGAAGACGGCCGAGGTCGAATTCTGCCGGTGAATTGTTCGAATCCGAGTAATAATCAAAAGATCCACCCGTATTCGATCGAATTAGCAACCTCTCGTTCTGCAGCCTGAAAGAGGCAGAAAGGCGGTGTGAGCAAGACACTTGCCCTGTGAGGACAATGCTGCATGCTGCGAGATTGGTTCCAGCCTCACGAAAAACTCAAAATCCCCCCTCTGGCTTGGGCATCAAATGACAGACGCGAAGGTCTCCCGAAATGCAAAGAACAGCCGAAAGTGACCCCGTTCTAACCATCGGTGGGCCTGTTTGATGGAGAAAAATCCTTGCTGCCGAGGTGTGCTTCCGATATTGGCTGGGAAGTTGTGCGGCGAGGGATCAGAAGAGGGCACAAGCTTGTCAAGAATTAGGTAGAGAGAGAGAGAGAGAGAAAGAGGGGAGTCGTACAGGACCAGGCAGGGGATGATAAGAAAGGAAATGAGGAGGAAAGCATACGGAGTACGGCAGCGACCAAAACCGAAATCGAATGAAGAACCGCTTCGAGCCTTCAAGCCGCCCGCTATCCGCGATAAAGACGCGAAGGTAAATCGAGGTACCACGCGATATTACCTTGCGGCTGTGAGGTTAGCACGATGACAACCTTGTCTAGCCACGCTTAGTCTTGGGCCATCTTCTTCTCCTCATTGCCCTGCAACGACGCTCACGGCGTTCATCAATAGCACCGGAAACGATTAACCAGTAACTCGTTGCCAGCACAACTCTAATTGAGTATTGTCTGCGGTTGTGCAACATTGTCCACGAAGATATGCGACAGTCCACGATAGCTGCTGACATGGGCTTGTCCAGGCGAGACGGTTCGTAGGCGCTCATACGATAGTTGGACAGGGTCAAGCCATTGTCCTATGGCGTGGGTTGGACGGTAGGACTGTCGTGCTCCGAACGGCATGGTCTGCACATCAGTGGATACTTCCACGTGAGGCAGTATCGACCAGAGTGCAGACATCGGGGGCGTACAAAGTTTTAGTCTGCACGTGGAGTGCCTCGCTGAGGTGGTATTTGAGCTTGACAAGGGACGTGCGAGCAGAATCCCAGGCCCATGCGAGGAGGGCGTGGAGGGGTAGGCAGGCCCCAAAATCGTAGACGTTATGGTGACTGGCTTCTGTCCCATCGATCCAGTCTGGTCTAACTGAGTGTTGCAGCGATATTCGGTCGTCCGCTGGGGCATGGTAGGAATCCAGCCATGCCAGGGCCAAGGTAAGCTCAGGTTTTTTTATTTTTATTTTCTACTGGCAGCTGTCCAGATAGATTCGACGGCAAGAGAGAAAAGTGCGGTAGTGAGACGACCAACCAGCAGCGGCCGACATGGATGTTAGCCAAGGGAAGAGGAGTAGAGTAGACCTGGGAGTGGCTGTTATTCCTGAGCTGCATACTTCAGGCAATTGGAATCACGGCATGGATAATGCGGTCAGAAACTTTGGGTCTGATGACCTTGTCCTGCTGCTTGTCGTCCCGAGGTATCCGCGCGACCTCGTCCCGACTTCTCGTGTTCCTCTGGAATCCGCGACCCAATATGGGTCTATCCTGTCTAAATGTCGTTTTTATCATTTGCCCTTTTCGCATGGCTGTAATGAGTATAGCTGTGTATGAGGGAACCTCCTGCTGTTGCTGTCTCGTTCACCCATTGACGGTGATAATACGCCAGCTACGGAGTGATACCTCAGTCGGAACAGGGTCAAATTATGCGCCGGAACAAACCGGGTGTATGATAGAAACAAAAGGACGCAAAGAGACTGGTACCGTTGGAAAAACTTGTCGTCGGGCAAAGCGGTTGCCGGCCCTGCTTTGGGTGTCGGGGAAATTACGGTTGGTTGCCAAATTCGTGATTCATAGGGACGCATGATTGAGATCGATGCAAAGGATGATGCCGACACCGTGCGTCATGACGGTGACAATTCTGAGAACGAAGTGTTTGGACGGCTGAGGGGAGTGTGGCCACTGTTTAACTCCATCGTTTTGCATTACTAGAGGATTGCCGTAGTACATATAGACGCTACCCTACCCTCGAATTCCGTACTATTTAATCTTAACCCTTTTCTTACCTATCCTTTCCTCTATTTTACCCTCTCCCTCGTTAAGGGATCGCTAAAATCGTAGTTTCGATAGCTTATTAATAAGCTAGTATTACTATTTAAAAATAAGTAACTTACTTTTATATATAGGCGCCGGGAGTCTTATTATTATAGAGATAGTAATAGATATACCGGAGTACTTAAGAGAGCTTTTTAATAAATTTTTAATACTATTTAAAGCGATTATCCTTAAGCTATAAGAGGAAGCCGAGGTATTATATTAATACGGCCCTATTTATTTCGTTAGTATTAATAATAGTCTTTTTAATATAAAATATATTATTAATACTCTGCGGCCGCGTTACTACTTTTTATAAATCGTACCTAATATTAATAAAGATTCTAACGTTATTTCTTAATTCGTCTCTTAGTTTCTTTATTAAAGCCGTTATTATAAGGTTAGTTTAGTTATTAATATTTTAGTAAGTATTTTAACTTAACTTAGAGGCTCTTATAGCCTTTAAAGAGAGGCTTTTAAAGGACTTATAATTAGACTTTTTACTTATTATAAACGAAGCTATTATAATTAAAGCTATAGCGTTACGAACCTCAATAGTAAGTAGTTAGTAATATAGTTATCTTTTTTTTATAGCGAGCTTAAAAAAGTATTTTAATTTAAGTACTAGGTAGGTACTATATTATTTTATTAAAACTATATTCTTGTACTTATGACTTAGAAAGAATTAACTTTCTTTAATAACAAGGTACTTAGAGGGGAGTGTGGCTGCGGGCTGACGGGCGCTTGCCGCTGTCGAGTTTGTTATTCGGGCGAAATGTACGGATGGATATTTGACGGCGCATGATATGCCGCTTTGACTGGTCGCAGCTGGTTGGATTCGTTGACAGTTGAGCGTGCGTAGCAAAAGGAAGCCAAAGTCGTACGCCTCCATGTCAAAAGTTGACATGTTGACATGTTGCATGCTGGAGTAAATTCTGGGCGGCTGATTTCCTCGTGTATCCGTACACCAACTTCATGGAGGCTCTTGCTGATCGTGACTTAGGGCGGCGCAGTGACTAGCTAGTTGTCCCGGAACACTGGGCCGGACGGCTTGTCGTTGGAACAAACGTGCAAGCATGTACACATCGCCGCTAGCACGTTTGGTGGTCGTCCCGAGGATGAATTGGCGCTGAGCATCCATACAGAGTACGGGCTTGTGTGTACGGAGACGGTGCATGTACTCTGTAGGGACGTGGTAGGTATGTAGGTGCGAGGTCAAGGGCGAGAGAAAACGGCCTTTGGACTGGTTTGGTTTGGTTTAGTTTTGGACTGGTTCCCGTTCCTTCGGGGGGGCGACCAACAACTTTGGAGAAGAAGCAGACACTGTGCCCCTCAGGGGCATTAACGCTTGCTTAGTCGAATCCCAGCGGTTTGGGTCGCTTGAGATCTGTCGACGCCCTAACCTTCGCGACAGATCACTCTAGCAGCGGGCTGCGTTTCTTGGTGAACCCCCAAACCAGGGTGTCGGGATTTGCCTAGTTCATTCGAGTATAGCCCATAGATTGGGGATTGGGGGACCTGAGCTTCTTGAGCACACAGTAGCCCTAAAAGCACATTGGCGTCGGTTCCTGGGCTGGCGCTGACGCCGGCGCTTTTGTAGGAGCCACGGCCACATTGGCATTGACTTGGGCAAGGCTGTCTCGACATGCCTGGACGAGGGACGGTCGGTCGGTAGCGTGCAGGTTATGGGTAGAAAAGGAGCCCGAATTGTTGGTGAGCCTAGCGATGATAGCAAGCAAGCTCGCAAGGGCAGCAGCATATGGACAGCAGCGACAGCGGCGACAACGGCGGCAATTGTGATGTGATGATTGTAATTTGTAACGCATTCAATTGCTTGCAGGACCGGGGGGGGGGATCAAATTCGTATCGGACGCCGAACGACTCGGTCGTGGAGTGAGCGGTGAGAGGTGTGACTGTGAGCGTAAACATCCCAGTGACCGGGAGGGGGGGGGCGGCTAGACAGTCTCGAGGTCGAAAGTCGAACACGTATTCGTAGACGATGATTTGAACATGGAGACAGGCAGGGCGCAGGCATTGCAACGGTAGGTGGCGGTTAAGTTGTTGATTTGCAAGCAGGGAATCGGGAGTCGGGAGATGACAGACTGAGGTGCGCAACTAAGGTGCCGTGGCATGCGTGGGTGCACACTCAGAGTCCGTAGTAACACGCAGTAAGATACTCCGTCGGTAGGAAGGACTGGCGGGAGGATGTATGTTCCATTGGGCGAGTGGCGAAGCGGGCGAGAGGCGGCGGGCACGGCGGGAAAGAATGACCCAAGAATAACGGGATGCAAATGTCACTGAGGGATTTCCCCGAGGTCCCGCCACTGGCAGAAATGGGACCTGGCAGGTTCAGATTCGAAAGCAAATGGAAGGAAACGTGAAGACAACTGGAAGCACTCCTTCTCCGCTCCTGCAACAATTGAGCTCGGGAAAGGACAAAAGTGATGAGTGCTTGCAGAGTACATATTACTGTACTTGCCTTTTTGCCATTCCATTTCACCAGCTGACAAGAGTTCTGCCTCAGGTACAATTAATTCAAGGTATCTTAGGTAGGAGGTATGCGAGGTACTTCTTGAGTTGGAAGGCACGAAAGGCATTACTTTTGTAACGTGGAAAGTGTGTGGGCATCTATGCGCCAAAGCGATTGTGCTGCGCACCTACTCCGCAAGCAAGTGGTAGTAACATACCAAAGTTGAAGGTGCCGTGGGCGCCTGCTTCATGGGGAGGTGGCACGGTGGTACACATGGAGGACTGCCCAGGAAAGTGCCATAAATGGTTGAAGTGCATGATGACCTGATCCAATCAGACGTGGACGGCTACATGCCCGTGGAAGTAGCCCTCACCTCGATTTAGAGCGAGCTCACCGAGAGGAGGCACGACCGCTTCCCAGCGGCCACTTCCGGCCGAGGCCGTGCCACGGTCGTCCGTCCACCTTCACCGTCACCGTCGCCATCGCCGTTGTTACTCGGCAAGAGCAGTCACTACCCGTACTCGCTTGCAAGTTCCAGCCCTTCCATTCTCACAGTACTCCGTACGGAAGGAGTACCTTATGGATGCTTCTTGTCCAAAGTCCCACCTCAATTTTGGATAACTGCACTTTTGTTTTCAGTTCCACCGAGGCATGTGTAATTGATATGTGCCATTGTTACTGCCCAGTATCCGCCTCCTCCGATTTTCGACTCCGCATGCATCTTTTGGTTGTCTTGGAAGGCATCTTTGGTATGGAGTCGCGGAGTACCCACTTCTCATCATTTTGCAGTGCAAATTAACCTGGATGGCAAGGTATGAATGTCGAATGCTCGCCGCCGCAGTCATACAGGGTCGCGGGCTGTCACAATTAAGCGAGGGGTAACCAGGAGGGAAAAGGAACAAGCCCTCACATCACATCCCCTGCTCTCTATCCGTACGTAGTAGTGAACATACACCAAGTCGCTTGGGTTTCTGGGAAGCTGTTCAGGGTCTCCCGGTGCTCCAGCCCTCTGGAAATTTTCTGAAGCAAGGAGAAGGGAACTAACTAGTGGGCTACAGCCTACCGACCTTACAAACAGGGCGGGGGAAGCAGCACACTGTGGTGATTGACATGGTGGAGGGCGAGGTTCAAGGTAGAGGGTACGGAGGGGAAAAGGAGAGGGGAGGGGGGACATTCCCATGGATGGGATGCAGGGCAAGCTGGATGCTGCAGCTCCTTGCAAGGAACCCAATAAAGGTTGCCTGGAGGGCTGGGCCACCCCTTCCCATCTTTTACCCCCCAATTGCCCCCCTTTTCCTCTGACTTCATTGACTGAGCGCTTGACCAGGACTGGACCTCACCAAAGCCGTGCAGTGCACCACGCAATGCGAAATACGGACTATGGAGGACAGAAACAGAAAACCTCGAATCTGGTCGACTTCAAACCCTGGCATCTGAGCCCCCTCCCCCCCCTCCGTCTCGCGTTTGGCTCGGTATTCCTGGTAAATCCGCCCCCGGCAGATCTCAGCTGCGACAAAGTCGACGTGGAGGGGTGGCCCGTCCGTCCGTCGTCTCCTCGCGAAGTCGCCCGGCCTTGAGGTGCCCGATGACAGGGGGATGCACAAGCGAAGGGAAAACCCCATTTCCAAAATCGAGGAAGCGGATGCCGCTAGCTGCCTTTCCAGTTAGCACCAAACAGCCCTCATCCCCGAGGCTATTCTCTCCAAGCGAATTCTGACCCTCTGCTCTCCAGGAAACCCACCCTTCACGAATTGGAAGCCAAACGTGTATCGATTGTCGATTGTCGAATCTCCGGCTTCCCCAAGGACCTCGTCTTAACGATGTGTGACACCTTATCACTCCCGTGACGCGGTACGTGTACTCTGTCTCCCTACACGCAAATTCTCCCCCCCTCCCCCCCAGAAAACCCCCCCCTCCCAAATGGGAAGCCAAACGGTGTTTGTTTGTCTTTTGTCAAACCCCCGGCTCCCCCAAGGCCCCCTCCTTAACAAGTTGGGACCCCTTACCCCCCCCCTGCCGCGGTCGGTTTCTCTTTCCCCCCCCCCAAATAAGGGGGTTTCCTCCCCCAAGGGGGGCCCCCCCCCCCCCCCCCCCGAGACTCCATCGTAGGTTGAGCTTCGCTGCGAAGCAAGGGACTATTCCTTGACGAATTTCGGCAAAACGATCGGAATTTAGCACTCGCGTCAAAAAGCCTACCTCCCAAGATCTAGATTTCAAGATTGCAGAGACGACACGAGCTTCAAAGTTCGCATTGAGAGGCACGGATAGATTGAAGTCACCAGGCTAGCTGTATCCAGCTGCCTTCTCCAGTGCTGTCGTCTTCCTGATTGTCCACACGTTCAATCATCACTAGCTACCTCGACTACGTCGCGTCGCGTCTCGCTCGATCACACGCTCCTGGTGGATGGGAAACTCGAGACAGGATGAGCCAGCCTCAGCGTTCGTGTCTGCACCAACACCAGCGCACACCTAGGCCCTAGCTTGGGGAATCGTTTGACAAGTCGAACTTGCGGGGAAAACGCTAAGGTAGCCCCCGAGCTACTGGTGGGTGACAGGGACAAGCTCGACATCAGACACTTTGTGTAAGGAGACATGTGCCGTCTCAAGCAACAGGGCTTACAACTTATATCGCTTCAGGGGAATTTGTCTGCAGACTCTAGAGTGAGTATCAAGACGAGACTGTGACTCTCGTGTAGTGGATGGAATCTTTCTTGTACCATTCATGCCCGTTTCTTGGTGGCGCACTCTTGGTCAGCTCAAGGGGGCTCGTCCATAAAACGTGTGCTGATCGACGAGATTTCTACATCGTAAATACGATGGTGGCTTCTTCTGCTACAGTCCGAGCCCCTCACCTTCAACCTAGGCGTTCACCAAGCCGTTGGAAACGTCCGATATTCAATCCTCGAGGCTTGGCCAGAAAATAAGTTACGCCTTCGTCCCATCAGCAGCTATTCTTGTCGCAGCCCCGTCTATAGACGCAGCTCAGGAATCGACCTTATGGGCTCCACACCAATTGACAGATCAAGTGTAGGAAACCGCCGAACCCCTAAGCATCATAGTCTTAGGGTGATCGCCAGACCAGAGTTTAGACCACCGTTTGATCCCAAGCCCTGGACCGGCGCGCCAAAATAACCTTTGAGCGCGACCGAGGTGCCAGCAAGATCCTCGGTGACTATACAAACCTCTAGAACTCTATCAAAGTGCGGTTCTGCATGCAGGCTATTACCGCCCTCACGAGAAAACGCACAGGACCACGCAGCATTTGTACGGATAGGACAACAGCGCAGAAACGGAGCGAATTCTGTAGCCAAGCATTTGTACACCAGACCGGACCAGGAGATAGTGCCAAATGACCGACGGTGTCAGAACCAGGTGAGGAGGGAATGTTGGTTTCCATTTCGTCGCTGCTCACAGACCACAGGCCACAATCCACAACCCACCCGAATCCACTCGGTTGTATGTATTTCGTACTTGGTAGCACAATCTCTGTCGCGGGCGGAGAATATTCTGGTAGCAGAGCCCCGTCACGGACGCCGGGGCTAGTGTTGTGTTCAAGACGCCGGGCTCAGAAGTCCCCGAGGCGTCCATGCTGTTTTCGTCCACCTGGATCGACTCTAGTGCAAGCATTCCCTCAACTCCGCCCGAGTCAGGGTCCCACACTCGCGGAGTCTAGATCGCGGGCACCACACGGCAAGTCCCTCTTCAATGTCTCCCCCTTGGCCGGCACCATGAAAGGCGGCCTCTGCTTTCTTTGTTCTCTGTCCGTCGGAAGAGGACACGGACAAGTTACGGGAACGCGTCCAGACAACCGGCTGCTCCTTGCCCGATGCAGTCGAGTCTCAATCGCAATTGTCATTCCTCAGCTGCCGTGCCGAGACGGCCCCGGCGTTGGCGATGACGGATCCGACAGTGCACAATGGCTTCGGGAGACGGCAGTGCTCGTACTGCTTCCTTACGGTACGCATAGTCTCTGGCCATGGTCAGCGAACATGTATGCACAAACGAGGTACCCCACGCATCTACACTAGGCTTCCGTCTGCAACTTGGGACATCTGGCTGTCTGGGTCGCTGGGACGTGTGCATCTCGTCGGGTTTGGGTTTTGGTGATTCGGATATCCAAATTTGCAGGTGTTGGCAATGTTTCTGCAGATGCCAATGCAACCGTAACTGAGCATCTCGACGATCGACAAGGGCATCAAGCTGAATGGCCAGTGATAGATGGAAGAGTCGGCACATCAGCCCCCCTCCCAAGCCCTCAAAGCCAAGGCGAGGCAAGGTGCAGGGGAGGGGGAGCATCAATCTTCACCTTGCATCGCTCGACCTGGTTCGTCGATGGCATGGGGGGGGAAAAATTGAAGGGAAAAAAAATGTGAGAGAGAGAGAAGGAGGTGGGCCCGGTCACGGACTCCTTCCCAGTTCCCACCCACTTCATCATCCATCAGGCTAGCGCAGAAAAATGGCGCAGATCTCTGTTCTCTGGGGCCTAGGCTCTTGGTGCCCACTTTGGATCCAGAGGAGAAGGAAAGACCCCACCGTCTCGCGTTCCTACCTTCTCTCATCGCAGACCCCAGCATCCATGCCCCCCCCGAGTTTCCCAAATTCCCAAGTCCCCAAATCCAAAGCCAAGCACCAGCCTGAAGTCGACATATCCCTTTGACCATCTCACGAGACCTCGCAACTCTGCGTCGTACAGTGTGCGTCAATGTTCATATACAAGCCCCATATAAAAATATACCTCTCTCCGCGAATACCCACTCTGGGCCGCCGCCGGGCCACCTGCCTTGCCTACCGCAACACACACCAGATCCGACATTCCCACCTCACATGCCTGTCGCTTGGGTGGTCCCTCTTTTTTTTTTTTCCTTTCTCCCTTTCTCTCCTTTGCCCTTCCTCTTGGCTATCAATTCTCTGTTTCCTTGCGCTAGATGCTTGATGCAATTGGAGGTGAGGTGGATGTTTGAGAATCTTCGCTTTGTAGCTCGTCAGCTCACGTACCTTGGACACAGGGTCGCCCAAAAATTCATCACGATCCGCAGCTGTATTCGTACATAGACGAACACCGTCACTCTGTCCCACTCGTCGGTATTTCCCTCGCGCCCAGCTGGCTGCATCTCAATTCCCGGTATGGACCACCACAGCACGAGCAGGGCACCTAGGCCACGCCGCACACCAAAGACCGTCAGCGGCTCCTCCCAGAGTCCCAGAACCTAACGTCAGGGAACCCCAAGCCAGCTGTGGGCACCCAAATGCACACCACATACACCACACACACCACAAGGACCACATCTACGACCAGGGGAAGGGAAAATTTCAACCCTCGGTGCCGCTTCTCTCAGCTCCGCGGCCGCGGTCTTCCGGCCCTGGACCTTGCTTGCTGGTGCCTCGACCTGCCCTGACTCCCTCCTACCAAAAACTCGACTTTCAGCTTGAGCGCTATTTGCTCGGTACCGAGGCACACGTTACCATCAGTTGCGCACGTTGAATGCCTACGCCTACCGCCCACCAGAGGTACGTCGATCCGCAGTTGCACACCTACCTACTACACACCACACACTCATTTCAGCCCGCGCTCCCGTTCCGCGACGACGCGGCTGTGAGTCTCCTATTCTGGCTCTATCTCCTTCTTCCCCATCCATGTGTGATGTGCCGTATAGTGTGCCTACACTTACCAAGCTCTGTAGCGAGAACCTTACCCGCTGCCCTTTTCCAAACTTCAGGTTGCCTATGCAAGACCCAGGCTCACCAGCCGTCGCCGGCTTGTCTCCCTCTCCCTGGCGCTATCCATACGCATGATCAAGATCAACCCATCCTGGAGCGCTTGCAGACGGTCGATTCGATTTGTACCTACCGCAGCCAACCCCCATCCTAATTCTTCCTACGCTTAACTGTACGAGATACAAGACACAAGAAAGACGGTACACTCGTTGTGCGCCTAGGCATGCTTTCAGGAGCAAAGGGCATTGCGCAAGTTTTGAACTTGCTCGAAATCATGGCCAAGACCATGCCCAAGCCTTAGAATTTGCCGTCTGGAGGGAGTGCCACGCATCCGGAGGTGCAGAAGCAGGTCGTGCAGCATCCAGCTCGGCATGTCGTCGTGTTCTGGAGACTGGCTGTGCCGTACCGCGGACAGCATGTCTTGGGAGTGCGTGCGGATGTCATGCCAGCCAGTCAGATGGCTTGCCACGCCCTTCACCGGCCACACGCCCCCTTTCGCCGCCACAACTATTTGATTCCCATCCGCTGGGAACCTCGACCGTAAGAATCCCAAAGGTTGAGCAGGGAACAAGGGCTCTCGATTCTCATGGTTGGGGCCCTGCTCGCTGGCTGCCACGCTCTCGTGGCTGTGGCTCTCTGAGTCTTTGCTTTCTCAACTGCGGTGGTTGACGGTCCGCTGCTGCTAGCTACCTACCTTCGTACGCGGCTTTGCTCGCTGGCCAGGCCTGCACAACCATGACCGCCGCCTTTGTTATTAACCAGCTCTTCGTGTGCAGGAAGATATTGCACAGCGATCATGACTGCGTATTGAGTACGGAGCGCTCACGTCCTCGAAAAGACTAGGATCAGGCCCGAATGCGTTTTCTACCCTCGGCCACAATGGGCCATCCGGCACCACCCATCTTGTTCCCTTCTCTCCAAGCATTTGGTGTGGCGTCGTGAAAGGGGAGGGGCGGTCTCAACTATCATTCCTCCATTGAGAAATGGAAATCCAAATACCAGTAAAAATCCACACCGACCGCTGCATCACGGAGCAAGTCATCGCCGACCCATCCTATTCCATAGACACACGGCATCCTGGACTTTTCCTCGATGAGTACAGAAGAGTCAAGACGGTACGTTACGTTTCGTTCAATACTCTCTAATCAGGTATTTGTCCGTAATCGACGTCTCTCACGCAGTAGTTCTTTGTTTGTATGTTTCTCGTCAACCCCTGCTCGCGAGTCAAGACGGCGGATCCGACAGCGGGCAGCTGCAATAGGTAGCTCTCGGGAAGGGGTCCCGATCTTTAGGTCTAGGTAGCGACCAAGTTGGGGGCAAAGAAAAGAAGCTTTTTGCTCTTTCCAGTGGAATCCTTTAATCAACTCTTCTCGGCAGACTCCGTCACGCGCTGAGAGCCGAGAACAAGACCGAATGCCATTGTGCGATTTTCGTAGACATTGACTCGAATCGACCGAGTTCCTAGTCGACGACTCGATACAACCAACGAGACATAGGTCACGGGAGCCAAGTCATCTTTCTCATCGGGATTTTCGGGTTTCGGTTTTCCACGGGCCACACCTTGGACCCGACATGCTGTCAATTCCAGGTCGAATAATATCATTATTATATGACATTTCTCATTCCTTCTTTGATGGGCGATAAGCATTACGTGCATAGAATTCCAAGGGCATTAGCAAATTTCCCGGCACCTACGAGCATCCCAGGAGGATTGGGGTACCAAAGATTATTAAGACGACAAGCAAAATAAGTGCAAGGAAGGCGCACGTTCCAGCCAGTTAGTTCAACGGCAAACAGCTTCATCGAGCCTGTGGGTGAGCAATATCAATCTGACACGCGACGCGACAAGTAATCTCTAGGTTGTTGCGAATTATCTAGAGTCATTGGAGTCTAGTGTCCAGAGACTAGAGTCCAGACAAGAAAGGAGGTTTGGTCATTTCATTGATTCGATCGTTTCACCCGTTCCGGTCGGAGTCGAGCGTCGTCCAATGGATGGGAAGACTGGATGAGGAATCGAGGTGCTGACCAAGAAAACGCGAAGCAAGCAGTGAAAGAAGAAGCGACGCCATACGCACAGCCAAGGTCTCAAGTCATTCAGTCAAGCCACCGTACTTTTGGCTAGTCCCGGCATCCAGAAAGCGGCGTCGCCAAGCTAAGGGATCCTCAGCTAGTGAGTTAGTGCGCAGAGGACATGCGTCCCCAAGGTGGTTTAGCTGCGAAGCGCACTTTCATCATGCCCCAGTATCGGCATCATCATCATCATCACCACCACCACCACCACCACCATAATTCATCTCCTGTACCCGGGATCCGTAGCGTAACATTGCGAGCGCCCGCGCCGACACCAATCTTCAGACACTGCGGTCAAAGGCCTAGAAGCACCTGCCATCTGCCACCTCATCTGCCACCTGTCAACTCGTATGATTACCAGCTACGTTTGTCTACTAGGCTCGAATGTCTACCGTAGTACTGTGTTTCTATCTACCTTGGGTGTCGACTGCGATGGAAGGAGGGGGGAGGGGTAGGCCACAGGCAGGTATGTAGGTACGTACTCCGTACCGCAGAAAGAATTGGAAGCCAACAGCACAAAGTACGCAGTTACGTACCGAAAGACGCTCTTGATGTCTTCCTCCTACGGGCGGATACAGCCAGGATGCTTTTAGCAGTAAGGAAAGTTCCCAGGAAGGCACGAGAGGCATACCCCTGCAAAGCGAGCAGTGAAGTCTGAACCTCACCCTCACCTTTTTACCTCACCCCCCCGGTCCCGACGCAAGCAGCCCTGTGGGAGACAGAGGAAAAGCACATGGATGATTCTCACCTGTCGCCTATCTACTTTGGGGGGACATCTCCAGTCTCCAAGATTTTGTGATAGGGGTATCGGTACGTACCGACTTCTACACCGTGTCGCTGGGACTGCAGCCTTCTTTCACACCCACCTTCACAGGGCGCATGCTCTTCCCATCTTTCACGGCTGCAGTCACCTATCAACTCACATACCTCAAAGACGAGGGACGACGACGACTGACGACGACGATGATACAACTGACGACCTCGTCTGTACCTCGGAGGATACGTACCTCCTGGTCTCTGCTCCTTATACTCCTGAGTCCTTACTCCTCACACATGTTTATTATCCTTCTATCTGCAATTGGGCATTTGCAAAGGAAAGTAGAGAAAGGGAAATGCCTAGTTACGGAGACAGGAAGATCTGGAGGATAGACGGAGAGGACAAATGCCAAAAAAGAAGAAAAAAAAGAAAGCTCACCTCGCCCTCCTGTTGCTTGATCGGCTCCTCTTCTGAAGTTCTGGGTGTGTGTTTTCCATGCCCATCTTGTGCCAATTCACCAATCACTGCTCGCACTCCCCCAGACTCGGTCGTCTGCCCAGTTACATTTCGGAGCAGTCTCGTCGTCAATTTTCCATTTCCTAGGTATCCCAATAATTGCTGCCCTTGCTGCTCAGTCTGATACTTCCGTACTCCGTAGATACCTGACACCTTATCTTATACGTAGACAAGGTACAGAGGAAGGTGGCCCCCCTCTGCTCTGGCCTCTGGGTTGTAGTGTAAGCATTGCCAATTGGGCAGGGCAAGAGCAACAACCTTGGAAAAGGCAACCATACCCACGACTTGGAGCTGAAGGCTGGAGTCTGGAGTCTGGAGGTGTCTGTCTCCCGGGATTTCACCCTTCCACCTCACTCGTCCATCACTTTCACTCACCCCTTCACTCCCAGTCTTCACCCCCTTCACGGTTCACCCTTCATCCTTCCACTCTCCAACGCATCCTTGCCCACCGCACACTCACAGGCCCGTCGACGCGTCTCCACCTGCTGCAAATCAGCCCTCGCGCTGACCCGTCATTCAGGCGTTCCATTATTTCTCTCTCTCTCTCTCTCTTTCTCCTCTCTCTCAAGCTTACCCCATTCTTCCTATCCCTCTTCCGTCGCAAGTATTAAATTCGTCTTCCTCCCGGGAACGGCGCTAAGATCGAACTCCCCTCGTCATAAACCTTCATTGGGTTTACCCCCTTACCCCCTTCCTTAGCTTCGCCTTCCCCCTTCACATTTCCCACACACTGGTGCTTCACCGAGCTGAGCGAGAAGGAGAAAGAGAGAAAGAAAGACCAGACGCGCCAGAACTCAGAGAGGAAGAGAGGCTCACTCGACAACAGAAAAAAATTTACCCCATCTTCATCTCGCTCTTCTTTCATCTCACTACACACACACATACACACACTCACACGCTCCGCCCGCGCGCGCTACTTCTCTTTCCTCTGACTAGCACCACGGGAAAACCGCACTACGCAAGACACACGCACGCACGCACGCACGCTCTTTGCTTCCAGCATTCGGCAGCGGCAGCGGCAGCACGAGCACGTACCTCACTCGTCGACGTCGTCAAGTCGAGTAAAGTCGGAAAGACCAGAGGAAGGAGCATCCACCCTCCGCCACCACTCGTGCCCACCAGCCCACTCACCCACCCATCTCGCCCTCCAGTATCCGTAGACTACGTACCTACTTTCGTACCAAGGCCAAGGTCAACCACGCCCCCCTACCGCACGAGCATCGAAGCATCAGCACCCTCCACTCAGCTACCTTAGCTACCGTACATACAGTCTACGGAGTATTCCTACACCTCTCTCTATCACCCGACACGACACTACCGTACCTCACCCAGCCTGTCGAAAGCTGTGCTGGCTGTACCAGATTCTCCTCGCTCTTGCTGCGTGTGAGTGAGTGCGCACTGCTCCTGCACCAACCAACGCATCACCCAACTCATCACCACCCTCCTCCGCACTGCAGCACACCGCGCTCAGTCGCTTCTTCTGCGTTGCAGCACCTGCATCCCACAGTCTCCTGCATCCCGCCAGCCAGATCAGACAAGAGTCAGTTGCTTTCTCGGGACTCCCATCTGCCATCTCGTCAAGTCAGGTCCCGACCTCTACACCAGGCCAAATCCAGACATACGCCAACCCCGATCAAAGAAGAGGCACACCCTACGCTATACGCAAAGAGGAACCCTTCGACATCCCATCCTCCTCGCCAACCCCACTCAACCTTTAGTCTCCCTCTCCTCGGTGTACGGAGTACCTACCCTCTCATACGCCTACGGCACTGTTCGCCGCCTTTGGCCCAGGTTCCATACACACACCCAGCTCGTGGGCCTTCCCACCCCTGTCCTATCTCCGATCCAGACGCTAAGGACTCGCTCGGCCTGAACTCAAGCGGAGAGCCCAGCCCATCCATTACTACTTAGCGCACTATTTTAGTGTCGCTCTCCCCAGGCAATACCGTCAACCTCTTTCTCAGCCAAAGCGAGTAAGAGCCAGAGGAAAGAGAAAAAAAAAAGAGGCGTCCTTTCCGTGATCTGGCAAAGACAACGCTATCCTTGCCACTTTGAGAGATCCTCGCTCAGGGCCGTGGCTAGCGACTTTGTTGTCATCACATCCCCATTTAACCATAAACCCGAGCCCTTGGGTGGCCCGCGCTATCTTGGCCGCCATCTTTATACACCATCGTCGCGCCGCCTCAAGTCTCACTTCACTCCCGACATCACTTGTCTACTACTACTATTACTTCTTCCATTATCCTTCTTTTCGTTCTTCAAGTGCAAGCCCAACCCGCTCCCGCTACTTGAAAGACCGCTTCCTGAGCCATCCCATCGACCGCTCTTGCATCCGGAAAAGAAGAGAAAAGGAACCGCCTACCACGAACCTGCGAACCATTTCCCCGTTGGCTTGAGAACTAAGGACTCTCCGGCCAATTCTTCGCGACCCAAGACGTTCCTCTGAACTGTAGCATGTTCTTGGTCCCAACGCAACACCAGTTCGTTGACAACCACGCATCACTGCTCTCTTCAGGCTCGCCACAGCTTGGAGGTTCCCGCCCAGAAGCCGCTGCCATCAGCTCGCTCCTGACTTCGCTCAGCACCTCTATGGAACGCAGTGCTACCGAGTACTCGCAGTCAGGTTTGCCTTCGCCTTACCCAAGCAACTGCGGCGACACCCGTTCTGAAGGCTCATCTGCAGATCACGCATCTGCTGCGCAATACGCGACCCAACAAGAGGTTCGCCCCAGCAACTACTCTACCTCAGCGACGCCCACCTCCGAGTACAGCGTCTACCCGCCTTCTGCGCGGTCAGGATCCTTCCCTGAACACATTCAGCGATCATACCATCCTGCTAGCAACCACAACGGTGGCAGCGGAGGCATGGCGCAACAAGCAAGCAGTCCGTCTTTGCCCCAGCAAGATGGCCGTAACCATCAGGTCCCTCTGGCCAAGTCTGACCACGATGTACCCATAGATCCGTCGATAGCGGCGCCGAGTCCTACCTACGCGTACGGACAACACTCTCCCTACGGTCCTCCCCCCGGAGACATGTCGCACTCCTACCAGCATCCCGCCTACCAACCCCGTCCCGATTGGACCGGCTACGGCCAACACAGCGCCGGTCCCCTGACTCCCGCAAGCCACGTCTTTCCCCCGACACCGAGCTCTGCCCCTCCTCAGGGACGACCCAGTCAGGTAAGTGAAGGTAGCAGGCGATGAATTCAGGTGTGCCAGCGCGTCAGGAGGAAAAGTTTGCGCCGACTCTATTTACGGTAACTCATCCGAGCAGTGCTCTGCGCTGCAGGATCTGAGAGGCAACCATCCAAAGAGAGGGGGTTCTTTCAGAACTAACTTGGCAGCACGGCCGTTGGCGCAGGGTCGGAGACTGGCACACGCGCGAAATGTCGTCCAATGGAGGAACCAGTGTACTGACGTAACAGTTTGGCAACCAGGTATACTCTTTCGTTCCAATTCCCGGTGCCCAGCAGCACAAGCGACCCCGTCGACGATATGAGGAGATTGAGCGCATGTACAAGTGCGGCTGGAATGGCTGCGAGAAGGCTTATGGCACATTGAACCATCTCAACGCACACGTCACAATGCAGTCTCACGGACAGAAGAGAACACCTGAAGGTACGTTTTGCTGCACAATCTGAATCCCGAGTCGTTGCTGGTGGCGAATTTTGTCGAAATCGCGTTCGCGTTCACGCTGCCAAGCGGTACGCGGGACTAGCGTCGTACATCCCGCAGTTTAGCGAGCCGCGGTTTTTCGCTTGTTTGACCCAGTGCCATCCATGCACATGGCCTAGTGTCCGCGACAAACTTACGATAAACGCGTCAAGACACTCTTGTCGCAATTCACGGAGGCTAACATTATGGGAAACAGAGTTCAAGGAAATTCGCAAGGAATGGAAGCAACGTAAGAAGGAGGAGGAGGCCGCTCGCAAGGCCGAGGACGAACGTCAGCGTCAAGCTGCGGCCGCTGCACAGGCCGCTGCCCAGAACGGTTCAGGTGATCCTCAGTCTGCACCCGACGGCTCATCGTCAGCTTCTGCATACGCGCCTGGTCGCCAGGTCCAGTTGCCGCCCATCGGATATCAGCCTTCGCAGTACCCTGCGCCCCCGTCTGGAGGTGTTGCGCAGCAGCCTCTGCCCGAGTACAATGGCTCCCACATGTACTCGGCCAACTACCAACCTCAGTCTCCCTACGGCCAGCCGAACCAGAGCATGTACAACTCACGTGAGTTTCGAATCGTCCGTGTGACTGACCTCGGCCAACTAACTGTATAGGCAGATAACGGTGCTCAGGCTTCAAGCCACTGAGGACGGCTGATACGCCAACGAAAAGGACCCAACCGTAATGATGAAAGAGGAGATGAGCTTGTACATTATCGGGTTCCCTTTCACACGACGACAGCCGCACATCCGTAAATGTCTATACTACGAACTTTCAACTTCGTTTCTTTCGGCTACTAGACGCGCGGCAAAATTCTGGTTTACGAAGCGATATCCGCCACTTGATGGCTTTGGGATTTTCACGTTTCGATCGAGTACACGCACAGCATGGTTTCGATGCGTTACCAACATTTTCACAGGCGCCTCAGGCACACCCGTCTGAGGCTTGATCATTGACATCGCGATGCGATGCTGATGTTTCTTCCTCGGTTTTCTTTTCCCCACATAAGATGATGCATTGGGCAACGGCTTTTTCCTTGGACCGGTGTGGTTTCTGCATTTACGAGAACGGTTGAGAGGGGTCATGATTTGACGAAACGGGTGGAGGCTCGCTTTGGTTGGCCATTTATGGTCTCAGTTTGGAGAGGGTTTCTTGACATGGGCGCAAACCGGCTCCGATCTGAAAGACGTCACGGGCTCGGCATTGATCTCACAGCAGTCTTACCCCCGAGCAATCGAGGACAAAGATGCTCTGTGATGATTGGGAAAAGGACGACCGGCCTGATGCCTGGGGGGTTCAGCACGATCGACGCCCCAACTCTCCATCCTTTGCAGACGATACCTTTTTCCTTTTCAAGACTTGGGTCCCTCGAGGGAGCTGCTCTTCTCGGATGGCGATAAGGATTTTCGGAAAATGGGGACTTTTTTTCTCGGTAGAGGGCGAAAGCACAGGATTGGCAAGGACGGACCTTTGGAGTGGCCGAGATACCTATACATACACGGACGTTCAGGGCGTCGACAGAATGCGTTTGACAGTTGATTTGCTTTTTCGCGGTGGAAAAGGAAATGTAAAAGATTTTTGAGAAAATACACCTCTTTCACAGCACTACATACCTACATGGCAGTCTGACTCGTGATGTAACTCACAACTGAGCACAACTAAGCTGTGAGTGGTGATGAATTACCCAAACCTGCAATGACAAAAACCAAGGAGTCAAAATTGGACGAACACCGTGTGTACAGTGAGGCTGAAAGCTGAAAGAAGCTGAAAGCCAAATTGAATTGTTGCAGAATTGCCATTTTGGGGGAGGGGAAGGGGGGGGGGGGGCAAGGATATATCGTTGAACCCTCGTCTAATGACGCAGATGGCAAAGTGTGGGCGTAATGGTTGGTAGCACCATTCCCCTTGCAAGCCTAGTTTTATTTTTCTTCATCAAGCGGCATTGCACTTCTTACATGCATGGTCGACAAGGATTTCGCGGGGAAAAAGAGACAAGGGTTCAGGTTTAGGATCTTTTGTGGTTTGTTGGTTCGTTCCCAATGTGTTGGTGTTGGTGTTGGTGTTGGATTTTTTTTTTCTCGCCAAACGGTTTTAGTGTAGAGTTGGGACAGCTAGCGCTGGTAGGTAAGGCAGGCTGGGGCGGAGGGAGGGAGGGGAATGGAGGGGAGGGGAGGAGCGGGGGAGGGAAGCTAAGCTGGGTTTTGGCTTAGTAGGTTGGCTCGGAGAGAAAGGATCTATGTGTAACTGACGCTACGGGAGTCGGTCGGTCGGTCGGTCGGTTTGCTCGCGTGTGCATGAGTGTGTGTGTGTGTGGAAGAGTATGTGTGTGTGCGTGTGTGGGAGCCGTGGTGACATGGGGATGGATGAGTGGCGCTGCTTATTCTTACGTTGATGTGAATGAGGGGTTGTTTGTGGTAGGACATAGGTGCGGTGCGGATAGCCGCATGGAATAAGGTAGAAGGAAGGGGTGTTTGGCTAACGAATGACAATGGGATTGTTGCTTTGGTTGCTGGTGAAGAGTTTTGGAATGAGGACCTGGTTAAGTGAAGCTCTCGAGGTGGCATCTTGGTTTTCCTCATTATTCTCAGGGTCTCTATGATTGTCAAGGTGTATGTATCGCAGTAACGGGGGAAAAGAAAAGGCAGAAAGAGAGGACAAGAGAACAGGAGAGGCCGCCGAAAAGAGTTTTTGAGTTGCGGGACCGGACATACATGTGAAGTTCCGGGAGTTTGTTAGCCAATACACTTCCAAGGTTCCCGGTCTTATAATGCATCTGCACTTCAAGGGAAGAAAGGCAAAGTCGGAAGAAGAGGGGGGGAGGGAAGGACGAAAGTAGAGTTCTGGTTATTGACGGGTGATTGACAGGGGCCGCTGCTTCTTTTGAAAAAGCTTGTGCAAACCTTGGGCTTGCTTGTTTGCCTTCCTCTCTGCTTCTATCGATGTTTTCCTTTCGAGTTCTGTGCATATGCAGGATTCGGTGGGGTTGGAGAGTGAGGACAGACTTGCTGGTGACAACGAGGCGTTGCTTCTGCCCCTCCTTTCGAGGTGGAGGGATTGGGATGTCGTGGATGTGTAGGATGGAAAAGAGTCGGTGAGCATGTGTTGGTGTTGGCGTTGGCGTTTAAAATAGGGTCAACGCAGTGCTTCTTTTCCGACGGAATGCTGGTTGGCTCAGATGCGATGACGAGGGAAGTGCGAGGGAGCACAACCTTATGGAACCTTGAGTAAGGAAGGAGCGATGCAGTTGGTGATACAGGTGAGAGGGGGTGCGTATGAGAGAAGGAACATCATGTGCACCTACGTTGAATTTATTTGGGCGGCGACGACGGTGCGAAATGATTATTGGGTCAATTATCGAAGTCACTTCGCTCAAGGTATTCCTCGTACACGTACACACACCCACCCAGAAAACCAACACGCCGAAGGGTGCGAAGTGCTGCATCCAAACGGCCGGTTTTTTTTTCTTGTTGTTTAAATTTTGGGTTGTGTTGTACTCTGGGTACAGGAATCAAATAAGCAAACAAACAAACACCAGGTCACCTTTGCGGTTTTAAACAGGACGGCACAGCGGACCCCTCTTTCCCTGTTTTTTCCCGTTGGTGGCTCAACGGTTGTATTGGGGGCCGCGCCAAACACACGAGACCCTGCATATGGGCTCTTGTTTTTTTGATTGAGTTTGCTTGCTCCCTTTTGGCGCCGATGCGGTTGTGGAGTTTTTATGGTTTGGAAAATGGAAAACCCGAGTGAATGGAACAGCGGGGTGGTGACGGGAATTCGGGGGCAGGGCACAGGGTTAAAGATGCAGGAGGTGAAGAATGCTTCTTTTTTTTTCTTCCGCATTTAATCCTTGGTGTCGATGATACTAGCGTTCATGTTAGTTTATTGCGTTTAAACTACATCCCGTAGTCTCCTTTTTCCTTAATGTCAGGTACACGTGTCAAGCACCCGTCTTGTTTTGTGTTTTTTGGCCCCCAATTGTAACGTGAAGGGACCATGGGATGCATGGGAGGGAAAAAAAAAAGTCGGGGGTCCCGGAGTGGGTTCTTCTACGGATATCGTGGACGGGTTTGGTGGTGGTGGGGAGTTTTCTCTGGTGGTGGTTTGTTTGTGGGATGCGGGTTTTCCGAGTTCCGGAGGAAGGTGTGGGGATGGGGAGGATTACGGATGTCGCTTCGGGGCGGGGCGGGAGGGTAAGAGACGGGAGAAGAAGACGTTGGTTGCTTTACGGAACCGAACGGCGGGTGGATGCTCCACCAAGTGGACGGTGGGCATTTTTGGGTTGTTTGTCGGTTTAGATGTACCCGTATCGATGCCGCTGTTCGTCCTCCGCACCTGACCCCAATTCTTGGGACGGATTAACGGGATGGCAGTCGGGTCTTGTTTTGACATTCATGGCGGGAGCTAGAGACGGGTAGCAAGCACTCTTTCTCCCAAGTTGCGACCCAGACGTTTCTCGTTGGCTTGCTTCCTCGCCCCACGACCACGGTCATGCACTGAGGTGGGTGCTCGCCTGGAGCGATGAATGAGTACCTAGTAAGATTGCAACGCTGCTCTGAGGCTCGCTCGTCCGCGTTGTGGTTGCGAGTCACCCAAGTCTCCTGAAGCTTCGAAAAGACAATCCACCTTACTTACCTCAAGCTCATTACCGAGGCGCTCCAATACTTAAGCCTACGGACCTGAGAATCTACAGTGCTCAGTCTCCATTTTGGCGGCCCAGGGCGGTCCGGTAGTGTCGTCCCGCCTCTCCCACCTTCCACCACCACCACCACCACCACCACACCACACCACCTAGGTGAGATGGGTAATCTTAGCAGAAGTTACGCATGACGTAATCTGCAGTTCTCAAACCTGGAACATGTACCGATACAGCGGGCATACGACAGCAGCATACGAGTCGCTGAAGTATCGCATACCTAACACCCTCTGGCCCCTTCCTTCCTTTTGTTTTCGCCGGGTTGCCGCATTGTCTCGAACGGAAACGAAGCTAGATGAGGGGAAGGTCTGGACCCGTCTATTCTTGTTGGCAATTTGCTGTCTACCTCATCATTGTCTGAGGGAAGGAATCCCCCGGGTGAGATGGAGGGGGAAGGAAGGGGGGGAGGTCAAGATGGATAAGCATGGGAGGAAAAAAGGTAGGTAGGCCGCACCAGACGTTGATAAATCTTGGTTGCTGCCTCGGCATGGTCACATTCCTCGATCTTTTTCTCTCTCTTTCCATTGCTCTTGGATTTTTTTGTACCTTCCAGGTCTCGCAATCCGGTCGCGTCAGGGCTTGCTTTGCTGCCCCGCGTGCCCTCCGTCGCGTCTTTTGGCCGGAACAACCTCAACCTTATCTTACCTCCTTGTCCTTGACTGCTACAGACGACCTGCTCGATATTTCTCAACTGCACCTCGTTTTTCCAACTACTTCGGCGTCTACCTACGGATACCTACTTTCCTCAAGAAAGTGTATTTTCATAGGCTGGATTTGTCCAACGGCCATTCCAGGCAGCCCCGAGCTGCATCATTGTCACTCGTTCTTCCCTCGTCTTTTTCACCGCCCACTCTTCTTCCGCACCCCATTCCATCGCCAGCACAACAATAAAATTCCTCGGTGGGCCTCTGTTTTTTTCCAACAACGACTAGCTCTTCCTCGAGAATCGTCAGCAACACGTCGCTTTCGTAACAGCCATTCAGCTATATCATTCGCTTGATACCCATCAGAATTAGGCCGCATTTTCTCCGGGCCTCGAGTTATCCGACGATTCTCAACTAAGGTTCGGACGGTAGTGGGGACCACTCCCACCATCTCCAAAAAGATGACCGCCGGCGCCTCCATCGACGCCCCTCTCCGGCCCGCCATTTTCAAAAACTCGGGCCTGCCAAAGTCCGACTCTTCCGTCTCCACCAGAGCTCCATCCTGCAAATCCATCCGCGTCACCGGTGCCCATCCTCTCGGCTCTTTGCACGTACACCAGCCCGTCGACTCCTCCCTGTCGCAACAAGTCACCATGGACCCCAACACCGTTCCCGACGATGACGAGCCCCCGCCTCTAGCACCCATCGAGTCTCTCGATGTCGCCGCCAGCGCCAACCAACAGGCCTCTCAGCATAAACACCAGCTTGGAGGAGGAGATGTTGTCCTTGTCATGGACTTGCCTGCTCACTTCACCGTGGGCTACGATTCTGTCTCCTTCACCGCCCGCGAGTTCGTCGGCGTCAGAGACATTCCTCCCGGCTCCCATTTCTTCTGGGTCTCGGAGACGGAGGCTAGCACCACGCGCTCCGGTTTCTGGATCATCAGCACGGCCACCGAGAAGATCCACGTCATGCAATGGGACAAGTTCAACGAGGTCATCGGCGAGCCCGCCAGCCAGGTCGAAGCCCGTTTCCAAAAGGATAACATCCAGGACATTTACCCCAAGCTGGCCCCCTACCAGATCCGCGCTCTCAATGCCACCGTCAAATCGGCTACATCCGGTTCTTCCAGTCCCGAACCCGAGTTCGCAAGAAACACCAACATTTGGCAGCAGCTGACCAACGCCATCACCGCGCCTCTCTTGAGCAGAATTACCGCCCGCCAGGCCAGTGACTGGGCTGTGCATACCTCGGACCGCGTGAGGGGGGCGCTTATGCTTCCCGCTGAGCTCGAGCTAGAAAAGAGAATGCCCAGTGTTGTCGCGAGCACAGAGCTGAACTTTACCTTTAGCCAGGGTGCCAAAACATACGATGCAGAGAGTGTCGGCGCTCAGCGTACTGAGCAGGCAGTTGATGCGACTGCTCACTTGCTCTCCAGCGGTGCCACCGACGATGACGTTGTGGGTGAGCTCCAGTTTGCCTTCATTGTCGGTATGCATCTTGGCAACGAGGCGTGTATCCAGCAGTGGTGGCACATGCTGGTCTCCGTCATCTTGAAGAGCTACACACTGCCTCTCAAGCGCCCGGAGCTGGCCCGCTCGCTCCTGCAGACCATTACGGCTCAGCTTGTCTACAACGAACGCTACCTCGATGGGTCTGTTCTCGACTACGG